AAAAATATACACTTAAAGAGGGTTTGTATTTATAAAGAGTAAAATATATATAGTGAAGGATAGTATAAGATATTTACTTTTATTTTATTATTAAAAAGGTGTCAAATTTAGATAAGACACTATAACATATTACTAAGGTGCATCAAATTTAGAATAATATAACATAAAAATAATTTAATTTTATTGGTTTATACATGTTTATACATATAGATCAATATCAAATTTTTGATTTATATATAAAATAACAAAGTTTAAACTGTTATAACACTATTAAAAATAAAAATAAAAGAAAACCCTTTTGCAAAAATATAGTTCAGATTATAAATTATTAATTTGTAAGAGAGTTTTTGATTTAATAATTTTTTGTCAAGTTATACTATTTTTAAAACAACTAATAAAATTAAATATCTTAAGCTATAGTATTATTATAAGCTAAAACCAGACTACACTATATATTTAAAAAGATTTTATATAGAGAATATATTTATGAAAAGTATATTTAAAATGGTCTCTCTGTAATATATATATAGAATAAGTTAGTAAAAATACATCAAATTTTTTTAAGTAAATTTTTTTAAATCTTTAAACAAATATAACTTAGCAATAACTTAAACAAATTTAATATTTTTTTTAAATTAATTCTATAAACTTACAGAATTTATTTTTAAAAAATTATATTAAATTTAATTAAGCTTTGTTAAATTATTTTTGTTTAAAGATTTAAAAAATTTTATTAAAAAATTTTGGTGTATTTTTATTAACTTACTCCATATAATAAATATTACAGATTAAAATAAAATCTGATCAGAGAATCTCTTATGCCTACTTTTAGAGCCTATAAAACCTATATATACTCATTTATTAATAAATCTAACTCTAAATCCTACTCCTAATGCTAAAAAGAACCCCAAAAAATGTCTCACAAAGAATTTTAAATTTTTCTTAAAAAACAGAAAAATTTCATTTTGATCAGATTTTGTTTTAATCTGTGACAATAAATATATATAATAAGAAAATATTAATAAAAGATAATATAGTTAAAATTTAAATTAATTTAAACTAAAGAGTATAGCAACTTAGTGTAGTTTAGATGTTAATATCTTTTTAAGTAGTAAGACAAGAATTTAAATTCTATTGCTAATAAAAATTTGAATTTGTGAAATATATAATAGTAGACCATATTCAAATTTATTGAATAATACTTGTAACTTTGATTATACTAGCTTGTATTAGAAAATTGTGATACAATAGTATAATATATGAGTTATATAAAACCTGTGTGAAGCAATCATATAAATTTAAAGGATTAGAAAGTATAAAAGACTACTTAGTAAGACTCAGTAGAGAAGTAATACAGATCTTTGATAATACTATGTAAAGGATTATCTAGAAATCTAAATACTGAATGAAAACTGAGTGTTTAGCAAGATACTATACCAATTAGGTTACTGAACAAGAACTAAAAGAAAAAGAATTTATTTGAAATATTAAAGAATGTCTACTAGTTCCTCTTAGGCCATCTGAATTAAAAGTTTGAGTATTAAAAGCTCTTAGATCTGTAAAAAGTGAGTACTGAAGTTTGAGTAAACTCTATATAGAAGTAGATAATAGTAGTAGCTATAGCTCACAAGTACTTGTTCTCAAACTCAGCATAAGTTACTGAAGCCTAAATTGATCAGATTATGAATACAGAAGACTTTAGTAGGTTTATTATAAGAATAAAGGACTTCTTATAGAGTCTATCTTAAAATCCTAAATAAGTATCTAAAAATAAGGGATACATAGTATTCTTACTTAATTATAGAGTTAATAATTATAAACACAGAGGGTTTAAATAGATAACTCTCTAGTTAGGTTATAGGTATGGCATCTAGTATAGAACCTATAATATATTATTTATATGCAGACTACTTAAATAAGCAACTAAAAGTTGTATATGTAATTAGTTATACTCTTCAAATATGTATATAGTATAGTATATACTATATTGTAAAAGTTAAACTATAATCGAATAAAAGAAACATGACCAAGAGGTCACCTTAACATCAAAAAAAAAATAGTTTAGACTATAGGATCTTCTAACTTAATAGAGAATCAGAGTGAAGATAAATTAGTTCTAATTTTATAATAATTTGAATAATATTATAACCATAATTATACAAAGTTAATTCAATATATATATATATATAAATAATAGCAATATGTCTATTATTTAGTTTTATAAGTTTTAATAAACATGTTGGTGTAAAAATAACAATTTCCTAGATATTTAAAATTAAACAATATAGAACAAACCCGTGGGTTGATAACGTATTGTTTAGTGCTTCCGGGTCACAGTCGTAAGATCGCAGGTTCGAATCCAACTGAGGGACAAGGCTTGCCAGAACCACGATTGGAAATAATCTCTGAGATTGCCTTTTTCAAGTACAAGTCTGCCGGCATAACTACAGGGTTGGGGACGAGCAGACAAGGCGTAATCCGTCAAAGACGCTAAAATTGAATAAACCCAGCTTAAAAGGATTAACATAACAAGGACAAAATATAAAGTAGGAAAGAAAACTGTGATGTGAGGCCGTGGCGATAAAGAACTGCGGACCCCGAGTCGAAACAAGTGGCACGGTAAGGGCTGGGGAACACCACCAGTGGCGTACGCAGCAACGAAGTGTGTTAACTTGCAAGGACCGAATAATGCAGGGTCACCGGCCGTCCACTGATCTCTGTTGAATGATGACTCTGGCCTTAAGAGATGTGAGAGATCCTAAGGTGTCTAGGGACCTTCAGGATAACGGAGGGAGGTAAAAATCAAAAAAAAAGAAAGCAATATGGAACCTTTGCTAACAAAATGACCCTTCGAAGCTAAACATTTTTACTTGTAATTCGAAATGGTAATATAAACACTCGCTAATTACCATCCGGTTCTAATCAAAAACTCCCAGCGCATGAGCGGGCGCATGGCTTGTTTTTATTACTAGTGATCCCTAACAGATCTAAATTTGTTGAGTTATAAAAATCATTTATCTATCAAGTTCACTTCTATGTTTTTCGATTCGATTTCTGGGACAGTTGCCATATAATATGAATTTAAAATCGACTAAGCAGCAAGCCAAGATCACTATGTATTGTCTATAAATGATTAAGAATTTTTTAAAAATGTTTTGAGATCCGTAGTGGAAAAATATCATAATATCTGTTAGAATCGTCAGAATGACAAATGAAACAACAAATCCTTATAATTGCCTACAGCACCTCAACCATTTGTAATTTGCTTTAAACCAATTATAGTTGTAATAAACAATGGATTTTCCATTTTAATTAACACTCTATCCTTTTAATTTTTGTAAAGTCTATGATAATACAGTGTGACCTTTTTAGTTGGCCGAATAATTTAAGTATTCTAAGATTAGAAAAATAAATAAATAAATAAAATAAAAACTTTTAAATGTACAAGAACCATTTCTTGAAACAGTAAATTTAACTAATTTGTAATCCACCAAAAAAAAAAAAAATCAAGAGGAGCTTAAGTTGCAATCCATCTCACAATTTGAACTTCCAATCATTAATATTAAACCATACGGCTATGGCAACAATAATAAACATATAAGTTGCTAATATACATTCAGCCAAACCATCATTTACAAATAAGGTGCGTATAGATAAATTAACTAGTCCCGTTAATATATTAGCCTAATCCAATCATACAAGAATATAATTAGAAAAATAACAATCCACAAAGAAAGAAAAAAGTAAACGAAAAAAAAAAGAGTGAGAAGACTTACCAAAAGAAATACAGCCAACCCATTGGAATTCACAGCCTCAACGATTAATGGTAAATTTCTTTCATTTTTCCAATATTCTTCACAAAAAACTATTTCCACAATTTGAAATAATAATAAAAGAGTTGTATTACAAGCTATCACCAAGAATACATAGCTTAAATTCGCAATCCTCCTAGATATCGGGATTTTAAGTGCCATGCAAAATATGAATCCAAGCCAAAATAAAATTGCCCATGAAAATAACAGCATGGCTAATTTTTTTGGCTTCGGTTTTTTAGCTTGTCTATTTTTGCGAATCGCATAATAAGGATCAACTGGCAATATATAGTGACCTATATCTAGGGCAATCAGAAACATGGATAGGTAACCTATATTTGGAATGGAAAATATTTAATCATGATTAAAATATCAATGAATATATTTGAAAATAGTAAAATCCTTTTACCCCAAAAACTGCATATGCCTTCTTTATTTGAACTAATCAAATCAGTACGGGGAGCATTTAATATGTAATCTTCAAGACCAAGTCTATAAAGAATAAATTGATATACTATAAAGACAAATAAAAATTAAATGCTGTAAAATATTAAAAATTTAGCAGAATCTGCAACATTTAATCTTATTAAGTTATACTTTACAAACAACGATGGACAACCCGAGAATAGAGAAGCGGATATATTTATGAGCAGTTCTACATATAGTGACAAATATTGGCAAAAATCCAAGCGTGAAAAAAAAGTTCCAATGTATGCCATATTCAGAAGCATGTTCCTAATGATGTAATTGTTTCAAACAAACAAAAATAAATAAATAAAATTAACATAATGAAAAAATTAAATTCTTTGAAATCTTCATGAGACCTACATACTTGATAGTCAACACCTTTTACCATCATTAGTCGTATAAATCCAAGTGCTAATATTGGAAATGCTTGTTTGACTGCCTTTAACAATTGTCCTTTGAATGGCTTAAAACGATTTTCAGGTTTTTTCAAAAACGGCCGTGCAGCCACGATACCTGATGAAAACACAAAAGAACCAACTCCAAGATCCATCTACTCAAAAATATGTTAATATATTTTATATATCTTGAACGCAATAATAATGAATTAATAAATAACGTACGAATGAAGTTCCGTAAGTCTCTGTCTTTGCTAACCTTCTCGGGAAAACTCGAAAGTCCACCGCCAAAATAGACAAACAAGTTAAAATCATCAGACAAGATCTATATGCGCTCAAAAAAGGTTTCCTCCTGATATTATTAATATTGATCTCTTTGCTTTTATAATCAACATCTGCCAAATCCTTATCATCGGATTTTTCTTCATTTACAGATAATTCAATTAGATCATCATCCGAATCACTTTCCCATCTCTTTTTTTTCTTTTCATTATCATCATTAGTTAATTTAACTGATGAATTTTTAATTATCGCAAAGGTTGGAATTAATAAGATTACATTTAAATAAAAAGCATAGTCTACTAATAAAGTGCACGAGAGAAGACTTGGAATAATAAGAAACATGTATTCGAATAGAAAGTTCGAGATGATATTATTAGAAGCATAGTTGAAAATTTTGGCATATTTTGCCGTCGCTGACCATAAAACAAATGAATTCTGTAATGATTGACAAATGTAAATTATTTAATCGATCACTTGAATTTTTTAATCAAAAATTTGGGCCAACTCTTACCAAAAGAACACATGCTATAAAAAAAACTTCCCACATAGATCCACCATCGTGGCCGGTAACCCAATCTTCTTTCGCTTTCTTATACTCAATTTCATCCATGATTTCATCCATGTTATTATTAATATTAATAAATTGGTTATAAAGAAAACGTTTTTTTTTAAAATCCAGAAATGTAAATTTATAATTAATATTCATAATGGTAGTACAAAATAGTACGATTTAGTTATCTGTCATAACGATAATCGTCATGCATTATGTATGTACGTTCGTACGTACGTACGTACGTACGTATGTACGTACGAACGGAATTCTTTATAACTCATGAGTTCGCTAAAATCGGCTAGGTCTTCAAGAAGTATGCATTTTTAGTCAAACAAACCATCAAAATTCAATAACAAATTACTATTACAGTACTTCAAAAACAGACATTGTGGATTGATTTTCTAGATTTTCTATCAGTTTTGACGAGTTATCAGTTTTGACAGGGTGAACTGTGCTAGCAATTACATGAATACTTTTCAAACAACACCGTAAATTTCACGATTTTCAATTGATAATACTCTATAAACAATTCAGTTTTACCAAACATACAACTTTAAATATCAACTTATTCTTTATTTTATCTATTTCCAAATACAAAATATAAAAATAAAATTTACAACTACAATGAAAACTAATCTACCTAGTATAGGGATGTTAACGGTCCGGTCAGCCCTGGTCCAGTTTTCAATAGCTCATAGTCTTAAGAATTAGCCGGTTCGGACTGGTTTCAGTTTCAGACCGGTTTTAAGACTAACTGTGGTCCATCAGTTTAGGCCAGACCACATAATGTTCCTACCTAATGATACGTCGTCAGTCATGCGGGTCAATCGCAATAAAATAATCAACCCGCGCGTGCAGGTTTCGCCACGTGCAGGCCACGTATCAGGAAACCCGAACCAAACCGCGTCCGAGATATCGACAACAAAAACAAAAAAATTTATCCTAAAAAAAAAAAAAAAAAAAAACTAGTGCCATACTTTAGATATCCCAAGGTATGATCTAGTCTCTCACCCATCGTCCAAAATATCCAAACACGTTACAGTAAACAGAAATAACTTTTAAATATTTCAAGCACACATGGGTTCCACTAGTTACAACGTCAGAAATCCGAGAGAATGTGCTTTCTGGTATCAAATCCAATCGAAAGTAAATATCAAAAAAATGTTTCGAAAAAATATTAACCATATACGCGTTAGAAAATTAGAACAAATAATAACCGATAAAATTTTGATCACGTGGACAATCTTTCCTATTTAAATGCATGAAATGATACAGTACCAGGGACACGGAAATTTTTCGAAAGCAACTTTTCAAAAGAAAACAAAATTTTTTGCCCCAATCGAAATTTTTCAC